TTGATATTCTTTTTTTTCTGGTATGGAAATTAAAACATTTGATAAAACGAAGTGCATATCCGTACTTTGGAAATGTTTATTCTCTTTCAGAAAAAAAACTATATATTGTAATTGTTAGATGTAACTAAGACCATACGTATTGTTGTGATCCGCTCTCCGTTTCAATTAACGCTTTTACGACATTGTTGGTCCCTTTGACGGAATTATAAGTATAAATTGGAATAAGAGAAGTTTTATATTAAAATGTGTCGTTGAATGTTTTATGTGAATAAAAGGGAGATGTGGTTTATACGTCCATGAGAAAGCAACCAAACGATAAATTAAACATAAGATATACAGTCCCAGTTAATCTTCCGTTACTTCATACTAAAACTCGTAACTTTGTAAGAATATTTAAAGTTGATATTAAGTTTTCTCAATCCGGTATCAAATAATAGAGAAATTTATAATTTTGTTAAAATAAAAATTAGTTAATAATTTTTTTGTATGGTCATTAAATATTTGATAAATCAAAGTGAAAATCCGTATTTTGGAAATGTTTATTATTCTTTTAGCAAAACAGATTTTCAAACTATACATTGTAACTGTTAAATACACACGTGTAACCATGTCCCACTTTGAACGACCGTACGTATATTGATGTTATACGCTCCACTTGTCAATTACGCTTTTACGACATTCATGGTCTCTCTAACGGATTTCTATGTATAAATTTTATGAGAAGTTTTATATTAAAATGTGTCCTTGAACATTATATATGAAAGTAAGGGAAATTTCTTTAATTTTGTTTATCATCATTTCAGAAAAATAATTTTGTAAATATACATTGCAACTGTTAAATATAACCACTTCCCACTTCTTGGTCGCTTTAACAGAATCATAAGTATAAATTCGAATAAGAAAGTTTTATATTAAAATTTGTCGTTGAATGTTTTATTTGAATATAAGAAAGATGATGTTTATACGTCAACGAGACAGCAACCAAACGACATAATGAAACTACAGATATACATTATATACAGAAACTCGTAACTTTGTAAGAATATCTAAAGTTAATATTTAGTTTTCTCTCGCTGGTATTTTACAGAGAAATTTGTTATCTTGTTAGATTATAAAAGTTGATATTCTTTTTTTTTCTGGTATGGAAATTAAAACATTTGATAAAACGAAGTGCATATCCGTACTTTGGAAATGTTTATTCTCTTTCAGAAAAAAAAACTATATATTGTAATTGTTAGATGTAACTAAGACCATACGTATTGTTGTGATCCGCTCTCCGTTTCAATTAGCGCTTTTACGACATTGTTGGTCCCTTTGACGGAATTATAAGTATAAATTGGAATAAGAGAAGTTTTATATTAAAATGTGTCGTTGAATGTTTTATGTGAATAAAAGGGAGATGTGGTTTATACGTCCATGAGAAAGCAACCAAACGATAAATTAAACATAAGATATACAGTCCCAGTTAATCTTACGGTACTTCATACTAAAACTCGTAACTTTGAAAGAATATTCAAAGTTGATATTAAGTTTTCTCAATCCGGTATCAAATAATAGAGAAATTTATAATTTTGTTAAAATAAAAATTAGTTAATAATTTTTTTGTATGGTCATTAAATATTTGATAAATCAAAGTGAAAATCCGTATTTTGGAAATGTTTATTATTCTTTTAGCAAAACAGATTTTCAAACTATACATTGTAACTGTTAAATACACACGTGTAACCATGTCCCACTTTGAACGACCGTACGTATATTGATGTTATACGCTCCACTTGTCAATTACGCTTTTACGACATTCATGGTCTCTCTAACGGATTTCTATGTATAAATTTTATGAGAAGTTTTATATTAAAATGTGTCCTTGAATATTATATATGAAAGTAAGGGAAATTTCTTTAATTTTGTTTATCATTATTTCAGAAAAATAATTTTGTAAATATACATTGCAACTGTTAAATATAACCACTTCCCACTTCTTGGTCGCTTTAACAGAATCATAAGTATAAATTCGAATAAGGAAGTTTTAAATTAAAATTTGTCGTTGAATGTTTTATTTGAATATAAGAAAGATGTTGTTTATACGTCAACGAGACAGCAACCAAACGAGATAATTAAACTATAGATATACATTTCATACAGAAACTCGTAACTTTGTAAGAATATCTAAAGTTAATATTTAGTTTTCTCTCGTTGGTATTTTACAGAGAAATTTGTTATCTTGTTAGATTATAAAAGTTGATATTCTTTTTTATCTGGTATGGAAATAAAAACATTTGATAAAACGAAGTGCATATCCGTACTTTGGAAATGTTTATTCTCTTTCAGAAAAAAAAACTATATATTGTAATTGTTAGATGTAACTAAGACCATACGTATTGTTGTGATCCGCTCTCCGTTTCAATTAGCGCTTTTACGACATTGTTGGTCCCTTTGACGGAATTATAAGTATAAATTGGAATAAGAGAAGTTTTATATTAAAATGTGTCGTTGAATGTTTTATGTGAATAAAAGGGAGATGTGGTTTATACGTCCATGAGAAAGCAACCAAACGATAAATTAAACATAAGATATACAGTCCCAGTTAATCTTCCGGTACTTCATACTAAAACTCGTAACTTTGAAAGAATATTCAAAGTTGATATTAAGTTTTCTCAATCCGGTATCAAATAATAGAGAAATTTATAATTTTGTTAAAATAAAAATTAGTTAATAATTTTTTTGTATGGTCATTAAATATTTGATAAATCAAAGTGAAAATCCGTATTTTGGAAATGTTTATTATTCTTTTAGCAAAACAGATTTTCAAACTATACATTGTAACTGTTAAATACACACGTGTAACCATGTCCCACTTTGAACGACCGTACGTATATTGATGTTATACGCTCCACTTGTCACTTACGCTTTTACGACATTCATGGTCTCTCTAACGGATTTCTATGTACAAATTTTATGAGAAGTTTTATATTAAAATGTGTCCTTGAATATTATATATGAAAGTAAGGGAAATTTCTTTAATTTTGTTTATCATCATTTCAGAAAAATAATTTTGTAAATATACATTGCAACTGTTAAATATAACCACTTCCCACTTCTTGGTCGCTTTAACAGAATCATAAGTATAAATTCGAATAAGGAAGTTTTATATTAAAATTTGTCGTTGAATGTTTTATTTGAATATAAGAAAGATGATGTTTATACGTCAACGAGACAGCAACCAAACGACATAATTAAACTACAGATATACATTATATACAGAAACTCGTAACTTTGTAAGAATATCTAAAGTTAATATTTAGTTTTCTCTTGCTGGTATTTTACAGAGAAATTTGTTATCTTGTTAGATTATAAAAGTTGATATTCTTTTTTTTCTGGTATGGAAATTAAAACATTTGATATAACGAAGTGCATATCCGTACTTTGGAAATGTTTATTCTCTTTCAGAAAAAAAACTATATATTGTAATTGTTAGATGTAACTAAGACCATACGTATTGTTGTGATTCGCTCTCCGTTTCAATTAGCGCTTTTACGACATTGTTGGTCCCTTTGACGGAATTATAAGTATAAATTGGAATAAGAGAAGTTTTATATTAAAATGTGTCGTTGAATGTTTTATGTGAATAAAAGGGAGATGTGGTTTATACGTCCATGAGAAAGCAACCAAACGATAAATTAAACATAAGATATACAGTCCCAGTTAATCTTCCGGTACTTCATACTAAAACTCGTAACTTTGAAAGAATATTCAAAGTTGATATTAAGTTTTCTCAATCCGGTATCAAATAATAGAGAAATTTATAATTTTGTTAAAATAAAAATTAGTTAATAATTTTTTTGTATGGTCATTAAATATTTGATAAATCAAAGTGAAAATCCGTATTTTGGAAATGTTTATTATTCTTTTAGCAAAACAGATTTTCAAACTATACATTGTAACTGTTAAATACACACGTGTAACCATGTCCCACTTTGAACGACCGTACGTATATTGATGTTATACGCTCCACTTGTCAATTACGCTTTTACGACATTCATGGTCTATCTAACGGATTTCTATGTATAAATTTTATGAAAAGTTTTATATTAAAATGTGTCCTTGAATATTATATATGAAAGTAAGGGAAATTTCTTTAATTTTGTTTATCATTATTTCAGAAAAATAATTTTGTAAATATACATTGCAACTGTTAAATATAACCACTTCCCACTTCTTGGTCGCTTTAACAGAATCATAAGTATAAATTCGAATAAGGAAGTTTTAAATTAAAATTTGTCGTTGAATGTTTTATTTGAATATAAGAAAGATGTTGTTTATACGTCAACGAGACAGCAACCAAACGACATAATTAAACTATAGATATACATTTCATACAGAAACTCGTAACTTTGTAAGAATATCTAAAGTTAATATTTAGTTTTCTCTCGCTGGTATTTTACAGAGAAATTTGTTATCTTGTTAGATTATAAAAGTTGATATTCTTTTTTTTCTGGTATGGAAATAAAAACATTTGATAAAACGAAGTGCATATCCGTACTTTGGAAATGTTTATTCTCTTTCAGAAAAAAAACTATATATTGTAATTGTTAGATGTAACTAAGACCATACGTATTGTTGTGATCCGCTCTCCGTTTCAATTAGCGCTTTTACGACATTGTTGGTCCCTTTGACGGAATTATAAGTATAAATTGGAATAAGAGAAGTTTTATATTAAAATGTGTCGTTGAATGTTTTATGTGAATAAAAGGGAGGTGTGGTTTATACGTCCATGAGAAAGCAACCAAACGATAAATTAAACATAAGATATACAGTCCCAGTTAATCTTCCGGTACTTCATACTAAAAATCGTAACTTTGTAAGAATATTTAAAGTTGATATTAAGTTTTCTCAATCCGGTATCAAATAATAGAGAAATTTATAATTTTGTTAAAATAAAAATTAGTTAATAATTGTTTTGTATGGTCATTAAATATTTGATAAATCAAAGTGAAAATCCGTATTTTGGAAATGTTTATTATTCTTTTAGCAAAACAGATTTTCAAACTATACATTGTAACTGTTAAATACACACGTGTAATCATGTCCCACTTTGAACGACCGTACGTATATTGATGTTATACGCTCCACTTGTCAATTACGCTTTTACGACATTCATGGTCTCTCTAACGGATTTCTATGTATAAATTTTATGAGAAGTTTTATATTAAAATGTGTCCTTGAATATTATATATGAAAGTAAGGGAAATTTCTTTAATTTTGTTTATCATTATTTCAGAAAAATAATTTTGTAAATATACATTGCAACTGTTAAATATAACCACTTCCCACTTCTTGGTCGCTTTAACGGAATTATAAGTATAAATTGGAATAAGAGAAGTTTTATATTAAAATGTGTCCTTGAATGTTTTATGGAAATAAAAGGGAGATGTGGTTTATACGTCAATGAGACAGCAACCAAACGACACAATTAAACAAAAGAAAGATATGTATGCAGTCCAAATTGCAATTATTCTTCTGGTATTTCATAAAAAAAAACTCGTAACTTTGTATACAAAAATCGGTACGCCACCTTTCATGTTCCTTAATGTAACGATCAGAAACACCGTTTTTTGCACCACCGCTGCGCAAACTATGAAGACAAAATTGTTTAAAATCTAGACCTATCGCAGTTTATGTGCTCAAAAGTAATTCCCTAACCCTTGTGTAAGATATAGGACGATTTAATTCTGCTAACTTATAAGAATATTTTGATTAAAAAAAATTAACAGAACGAAAAACATAGTGATCAGAATCTAAAGACAGCTTAGCTAAATTAATGTATGTCAATAACCAGGCTACTGGATAGGTAGACACATTTGTTCTAGAAATTATAACATTAGTTCCCCTTCTATGCACATCTGTTTTCCCAGATTCAATATTCAAATAAACATAAGTGTCAAAATTTTGTATGTTAGACATCTTTAAATTGCAATCTCACTGTAGCGTAAAAATCTTGCATAACCAACTAACATCATTGCACAAAATCTAACATTCGGTAAATTAGAACGATCAGTACCAATTCTGTCTACTATCTTCTGTAAATGATCTGCTGTATTTGGTTCTTTCTTCACTGTTTGCATTGGTTGACTTCCAATTCTCTTCGCTCCTTCAATCATCATCTGAATAAGCTTGTCTTTACACAAATTATACATTAAACTGAAATCTTGATACCACTTTATGCTATAAAAATGAGCTATTTAAACTGATACAGATACTGATTGCTGTACAAGGCCACTAATATAAGCTGCAACGGATGATACACTTGCTTGCAACGGAATAACTTCATATGTAATACACCATTCTTTAATTTTTCAAATACACATCATACTTTTTATTTGTAGAAATTGTTTTACTGCATCTTACAATATCGAAAATGCTTTTTTTTTCTCATCCGGTAAACTGTTCATTCGAATTCGCAAATTGAGAAATTTCCCTCAATGTTGCACTGTCCTGTAATAATGAAACACAAATGAAACTAAGCGCAACAACTTAGCTTAATAAGAAAATATACATCGGAATAACGTAACTGTCGTGCAAAGTGCATCTTTAACAACAGCACAAGCTTCATTTTTATCCACTGACCGCACAAGATTCCTTCTTTTTCAATAACTGCACAAGGTGCATCTTTATCTAACAAAAACACAAAGTGCATTTTTTTATTTATTTTTTTTTTTTTTATATTTTATTCTTCAACCGCACAAGGTGCATCCCTATTGTTAAATCGCACAAGGTGCATATTTTTGTACTTAAACCCACTGGGTGCATTTTATTCTTAAATCGCACAAGGTACATGTTTTGTACTTCATCCGCACAAGGTGCTTCTCAATTATAAACTGTACAAGGTGCATCTCCATTCTATCAATCTATATAACTAATAATGTATACATATGTAAGGAATATTATGTATAGGACATATTAATAAATTTGGTATAGATTTATAATTACTTTTCCAAAATTCTAGTTCGATTTTGACTTGAGAGGGAATTTCAAAATACGAGTGCCAAGTCTCTGGCAAACAGACATGCATAAATTACGTTTCATCAATTGCCAAATATGGCCAAAAGCTGGAATCAAAGATATAATCTTCCCGAGAACAGATGCCAAATTTTAAGCAGTTGAACGATTATCTGAAAGATTTTTTTTCGATTGAACTGTATGTTTTCAAGTTTTTTTTTGAAACTTCAATAAAACCAGATACTAGATTCCATGAAAAACCTAACCAGTCTAATTTTTGCACTGGGAAAAAAAAGATTTCTCAAAATTTGGTAAAAAAACAGATTTCAATAAAATATGTAAAACCGATTTGGACATACGTAAACACATTTCCTTGTTGTCACAGGCCCATCTGTGGTCCAAATACACTATGATCGGAAAACTTTGTGTTTCTCCAAAAATTAACTAATGTTCGCACAATTTTAGTAAAAATGGGTCCTGCAGAAGATAGCCAAAAAGGTAAAACTGAGAAAATAAAATATCTTTCTTGTCCATCAATTCTTGAGAAAAACCTAGATATTTTTGATGTTCTAGATGTATACTTGTGTGGTGATAACCAAAACGTAAATCGAATTTAAACATGAAAAAACACTTTTTTTGCGTATTGATTGGCCTCTTTAACGCCTTAAAATTTTATTTTCTGTGTTTATACATATTTCATGTATTTGTTAACGTGTCTCCGATCGAAAACCAATTTCTCTTTCTTTGAATCACTGATAGACACGGTTAGATGATTTATTTGAAACCTCAGTAATACAACTGTTCATTTTTAATTTTGTAATAGCTTTCAAAACAAAGGAAGAATTATTAAATGCTTATCTGTTATTATTCAAATAAACTGATGGAGGTTCTTGCATAAAAGGAATAAGGTACCAAATTTTACAGTGCTTAAAACAAATTCAAAAGGCTTTAAACTATGTTCCCAAAATAAATGATCTTTAAATCGATTTTTTACAGTCTTATTTTCAACAGTGTATTCATAACTATTAAATTCTATAACATACTGAACTTTTTCATTAAGACAGGGGTGGGGCACTTGAAATAATGGCTGGTGCTGACTTGTTACTGCTGGAGGTACGTCCTTTGTAGGGACAGAATCAGGCAGTGTGTCCTGGCCTTTTACAGTAGAAGTTCAGTCCGTTGTTCTACTACTTCTGAAAGTTGTTTTGCTGACTATAGTTGTCATTTCTGGGTCCAGATTCTTTGCTGATGACACGAAAAAGTCTTTAGCATTACAACCTGCTCGGCCATCACTTCTAATGTAAGGCTTGTTAGCTGTAAGCTTACGGTTAGCTCTGAAAACAGCGGTTCGTAGTTTTGAAGCATCTTAAACGCTGTCAGCAAGAGGATCGTCCAGATATTTATGAACGGTATCCCACCCATGGCGATCTGCAATTTTCAAAATCGTATTGCGCTGGTTCAAAGTGTAAATTTCAGTCTTGACAATAGACTGTTTATCAATAGTATGGTCGAGTGACTCGGAATTTAGCATATGTTCAACTTATCTCAAAGCTGAAATACGGTCAGTTTTGAAATTGAACTGAATCTTAATTCCTTCCTGTTTAAAGGCATGCGACAGAGGCTGGAAAGCAATTGTAGAGGCTTGACCACTGGCGATAGTGCTTGTACTAGTATTTGAATTATCAGAGCTTATTGGTGTCTTCTCAAACTCCGACAAAATCTCACTTTTCTGTCTTTGTAGGGCCACATTGATTGTCGAAATGCGCATCTGGTGCAGAAAAATTGGTACCGTTTCTGTTATTACTACCACTGGGTCGATGCCTCTGCTGATGGACTGATAGTCCCCGAGGGTATCACCAGCCCAGTAGCCAGTACTTTGGTACTGGCATGAAAATACGGATTTTATGTTATTAAAATTTGCTGTTACAAATTTTAGAAATTATTTAAAATAAAGGAATGTATCCCCCTCATGCAAAGCTCTGATTCCTTGCCCAGCTTTGGCTATACTTTTTGGTCCTTTTTTGTTTATAGCTCTTCGTATTTTTGATAAGCTTTGGATTTTCAAATAATATTTTGGCGTCGAGCATCACTGACGAAATGTGCATCTGGTACAGAAAAAATGGTACAGTTTATGATATTAAACAATGTACTGCATCAGCTGTTAAAATATCACTGTCATCTTCTTTTTAAAAGTTGAGTTTCATCCATTTGTTCAACTACCGAGATTTCTTCTTTAGACATCATATCTCTTCTTTAGGCTTTAGCGAGAGTCGATTGTCAGAAAGATGACTAGGCGGGTTTTAAGCGCAAACAAATGGTCAGATGTCATGAATATTCATGAACGGACAACGAACTAAATTTTATGTACAATGAATTTCATATATCTCAATATTAACAAACTGCTTTTATTTGCGAGTCGTAATTCCATCGTATACTATGTAGTATCGTATTCGCTAAAATTCAACAACAATATCTGCAGTATTGCGTTCCAATCCTCTTCTGTGCATCAACACAATATCAATGTGTTAACTCAGGTGAATTCTTTTTTAATATTGAACACATTAACATAATCAATTATGAAAATTAGAGAAAATATATTTCATCTAAAGATTTACTTTTAAATTTTACCGTTTAAATATTCATCTCCTTGAAATTCAAAATGCTGTATTTTGATTTTGTACAGCAAAAATTGTGTGTTGCGTTTAAAAATATATATTATAGACAGAAGAGTTACTTCTATAATTTGAATATGTTCCGGACCATATGAGTATTTGAACCATACGCGTATTGTCATGACCATATGTGTATATACTCATTTGGTCCGGGTAACTAATACGCCCAACGTTGAACAGTAATTGTGTAAGACACAACCCTTCATAGATTTAAAGTTTCAAAAAATGAAATTTTGACCTAGATGTTAATTGGGTAATCTTTTAACGTGATAAATGAAATTAAATACATTTTACTCACAAGTTAAAATTACAGTAGAAGCATTTTTGCATGGTCATTATTGATTAGTCTTTACGAAACACAATATGTCGACTCCGAAAATAACTAAGGTTAAGCAGGAAGTCAGCTGTTTTACACATTAGCAATTGGAGTATTGAACCCCCTATTTTCTTTATTTTGGTGTTTAAATTTGTAAATATAGATTTCTTAAACATTTCAAATTATTTTGAATTATTTAATTTGTTCATGCTCCTCTATATACGATTTACAATTACAGTAGTGTATACGTGCTGCCTCTCTTTTCTGTAGAAACCACTGTTATTATAAGATCAAATGAAGAAGAGTATGAACACATCAGTTAAGTGACCATAAGTGGAAATTAGAAGAAATTAAAGAAAATCCAATCTAAACCCTGGTGAAAGGAAAAAAATGTCCATGTCCCAAACACCTGTTGTTTCACGTACGGACGAAACTGTTGACAGCATAAACACTGATAAAGGTGCTTAAACTTGACTCTAGATACCGAAGACATGACAACAAATATACCAAGATTCAGACAATATGTAACAAAGATAATGGATTTTAGTTAATAAGTTGTGCCGATTTTGGTTCAGAGAACGAGCTGTGTCTGTTAAGGAAGTTTGAATTTATCCGAAAAATACCTATATGGTCTAAATACTCAAATGGTCCAGCCGGTTAATAACCAAACGAATATATAATCATATGGTCCAGCCCGCTAATAACCAAACGAGTATATACTCATATAGTCCGACCATATAAGTATACCCATATGGTCATGACCATAAGCGTACGGTCCAAATACTCATATTGTCCGGAACAAATATACTACATTTTACTGATGAATTGTGGAGGTATGGATAAAATTTGAATAAGGCTTCGATTAAATATTGGGCGCGGTTTATACTCAATTTTTGACAGAAACAAATAATACAGTAAAATGCATTCACTGTTGTTGTTACATGTCCAGTGGCAAATGTTACCCTTGATTCTGCAGTGGTTAGTATCACAGTTATATTTGCAGTGAATATGAAAGTAAATTTTGAAATGTCAAAATGAAATCAGAAAGTTGTTTTTCACTTAATGTAAAGATAATTGTGTGCTTTGTGTCTATCTGATGATACGAGCCTTTTGCTATTAATGTTTGCTCTTATGTTGTGTTGTTTTACCATTATTCCAGGTTAGGTGGAGAGTTGAGCGCTCACAAACATATTTTAGGGAATTGTCGTTGGTTGACGTCCACTTAATTTGTTTTTTGTTCATTTGTTTTGTCCATCAGGCGGTTGGTTTCATATTTGAGCAAGCCGTTTTTTTTTTTATAACTTACTGTACATTATGAGTTTTCCTCATTGTTGAAACGCATAAGGTGTCCTATCTATATGTAGTTGCTTGCGTTTATGTCATTTTGTCTAATTTGCTATCACGCCAAATTTCTTGATATGTGCATTTCAAAATTCTTTTCATATATTTGATTGCTGTCGATTCATATTATAAGTTCTGTTTTACATTTCGTTGATTTTGCTGGTATCGGGAGGCAACGAATTTAAATATTCAAGGAAGTATACATTTCCCATTGGTATTTATAAAAGCTTTTGCAAAACAACGGAATCAAAATTCTACCTTGTCCCTATACGAATATAAATGAATTCACAATGATTGGTTTAACATGTTGAAATATAATAGAAAAATTGATTTGTTTGCACTTATGCACTGAATATCTGTCGGTTATACATGCTATAATCAATAACGTTTAATAAAAATTACTGTTTCAAGTCAAAGGTTTTGAATAAAGACACCAACCACTTTATGTAAAATTAATTCAATACTTTAATCTCTTAATAATCTTCACAAAGAATTAATTGAAGTTGAAATCTTTGATACCATCAGGTCAAATTGTTTGTTTAGTTATTTCTTTTCAAATAATTATGATGAATTGAAAAGAAACACATTGCAATTCAAAATCAATTATAACACACAATATGTGTCTAATCATTTTACATAACTTTAACAATCCTATATCATTGATGATATTGAAATAGTAACATACCGAATCATTAACAAAAATAAATGTGGCCTCGGTTATTTTAATTTTCACCAAAAGTATTGGGCGATGAGTTGACTTAAATTAAATACGATCTGGTTCCATGTGCATTAAAATAACTATTTACCGTTCGATTCTAGAACAATTCTGTTTTACATTATCATATAAATATGCCTTTATATTAATGAACTAACGAATTATACAGAGAATAAAACTATTCACTAAGTTAAAAATTACGTTTCAATGAAACATTCATTTTCATCAACAATGACCCCAAAAGGCAATTAAAAAGACAATAAATTAGGTTTACTTATCATTTTATGGAATAGCTTAGAAAAAAAAACGCCGAGTGTTGAGTATACGAGAGTGTTAGAAACTAGCATGTAAATAGTGTGAGAAATCCCCAGTATGAAAACATGCGTTTGAAATATGGAACAAATGTCATCTTGTTCAGTATGACATTAGTGAAAAAATGATGTTGCTAGCTGTAAAGGTTCTACAATGAAATTGACTTACCTGAGTGAATAGAAAGAGACGTATAAACTGCATAGCAACATACGTCACAAGTTACAGGTTGTCGTGAACCCTGGCTTATTTTCTATATTCGATTAACTTACATTTCTTAAAAGTATGAAGATTGTCATGATATTAATCTCAAGGAAGAATTAGCATAAAATGCTGGTAATTTCATAAGGGAATTATGATTTTTTTTTGTACTTTGCAAAGACCTGACTTGACCTATAAAAATTACCAGGTGGTAAGCAATAAAACCTATATGGGAATGGGAGGAGCTTGTTGTTATCAACATCCTATTTATAAATATACACATCATCTGTTTAAAATAATAACACATGGCTGTATCTGAATGATACATTTTATGTATCTTTGTAACAGAAGTGTACATTTGTAAGTATAATCAAAATTCCACTGTATGATGAAAATTAAAATGTATGAACACTTTACAGTAAATACCTAAATCATAATTCAAAAAATAGAAATACAAAAAAATACAGAAACTATTATACACGTTTTAAATTTCTTGTGCTGTGATTATTTTTAATAAATTACAAAAATAATTGTCTTGAAAACTGCAGAAAATGAATTTTATTTGAAATCTTTATCATTCTTAAAAAATTTCTCACACCCCTATACTAATGTATCAGTTACAGTTTTAGTACTTGCAGATATGTCCATTCCCGCCAAATATCAATGAAATGCAAACAGTATGTGTAAAATATCACTGTCATAGGGCATTTTTGAGGTCTTACTTGGAATAAAGAAAATTAAAAATTAAAGATTTGTTTGCCACAAATATATCTGATATTTTTTTTTAATTGTTGATTATTATTATACCAAAAAGAATGTATATCAACATTTCCAAGTACTTTTATTAAATCTGTTCAAACCGAAATCCTCATTGTGCCTTGGGTTGCAGATTACACATTCTAGATTTTGGAAGTTCATTTTCATCTTATAAACATGGAGGGAAACAATGAATGTTGTAATGTCACTTCTGTGTTATCACTTGAAGTTACACAAGAACAGAGAAATGCAATATATCACTTTTTTGCTCATAATGATTGGGATTTTAAAGAGGCCAATTCTGACAAGAAAAAGGTGAACAATTCTTAAAGTAATGAACATTCAGAAAATTATCACATTGAACAGGACCAAGAGTCACCTGAATGTCCATATTGTTTATGTCGCCCATGTTTAACAGATGAACAAAATAGACAATTGTGTTGGGAAAATGAAAATTGTGCACCTCATGAAAGAAATTCTCTCTCAAGAAAAGATAAATTCAAACGTTTTTGGACAAACATTTTTCATAGAGGGGTGTGGATTGACCCAAGATATTTAAGGAGAAAGAGAGACGCACTTAAAAGGGACAGACCAAGGAGAAAATTTACGTATCACAGAAGAGATTCAATACCAAAATGTGTCCTGGAATTGGTTAGGAAATGGTTCCCAAATCCATCATGTCAAGAATATATGGGTCACAAATGGGATTAGTGTTGTGATTATTACATATCTTCCCTATTCTAGTATACAATGGACGTTTCTACCAAATCTAAATGATTTTCACTAAAAGTAAATTATACCCAATTTCATATTAATAATATTAACCTGGACAAGTTATTATGAATCAATGGAATTTTTAAAAGTCATTACTGTGAAATGGAATAAAGATTAGATTAAAAGAGGGACGAAAGATACCAGAGGGACAGATTAAAGCTGTACACATGCAAGGAAAGAATTTTTCACTTATCAGCACGTGCATGTGGTATTTATGTAAAAAAAAACAGAAAACAGCTGATGCAAGCTCCGCCTTATCTGACAGTCTTGGAAATTCAAATTTTGAAAATCTGACCACTTGAGTTTTTAAACAGTCAATATTTCTTATGTTTATGGATTTTTTTTCAACATAAGTTTGTCAAAATGCAGATAATTTATGTTCCTACTTGGTTGACCATTCCTTAAGGAAACAAAAAATTATTAGTTGAGAAATCTGAAAAAAATGTTTCTTACACTTCAAAGCTGCAAAGAAAATATAAGAAGCCATAATATTTCTCATTGGATTCTATTTATACCCCCAGTCCGGTCTTTAAGACTTTCAAAACAAATTTCCGATAGAACATTGCTCATCGTCAATTTAGGAAAGTGGGTTTAGGGAAAATGTTAAAATATGAAGTGTTGATAGAGAAATACATTCAAACCTTCATCCTGTTTAAATGATTAAAAAGTTGATTTGCTGTCAGATATTGTGGCAGTGCGGTTATTATATTGCTAAATCAACTATTCACGTGTTGAAAAATGATCTGAAGGATTCAAAGGCATAGGCTTAAACTGCCCTATTACATTCCCTCTAAAAAGCGATTTAAGTAATGAAATAAAAGGATCCACGGCCAAACTTTCATTTAACCTATATTGTGAACATATAAGTAAAGATTACCAATTGGCCTTCTTTTCTGTGTTTAAGGACACACAGTCGATAACAATGCGAATTTTTAAAACCATAATAACAGTTACCTATTTATTAAATAAAATGTCAAATACAACAAATCCCTCGAGTAGTCTCGTGGCTGTGAACTCACCTCTAGTGGTGGAGGTCGTGGATTCGGTACACGGCCGATTAGAGCAAAGACTAGTTGCCTTTTGAGTCGGAATAATGTGTCTTCCTGTCGACTGTAACTTGTCAACTAACACGTTTATAAAATAATACTCAACGTGTCGGTTTAGTACAAATCAGGGTTCACATTTAAATCACATTGAAATGTTCTCCTGTTGTACCAGTAATATTTTCCGATGGACATTAAACATCAATACATTATTATTTTCTCTATCAGGAAAAATAGCGTTATGTAAGAAAAATATATGAACGGTATTTTATGAAAACTTTATTTTATGACAGTTTTTAACGACATTTTCGTCCATTTTACGTTCATTTTCTCGTAGATATGCACTTATTGCAATTCATTCAATTTAACCATAGTGTGACAAACGAAACAGTGAACAAATTTCTTCGTGAATCAAAATATCGGAATCACCTTTGGCGTTGTCCATTTACTGAATCTAAAACTGACTAATTCTACGAGATTTCCTTGAATGGTAATGACAATAAAACTTCTAATTTCGTGCCCCTGAGTTTTCTAGTTTTGCTTAAATCAGGAATGCTCAAACCTAAACAGTCGAGAGCAAGGGTTGTATGAATTAAGGCAGCAGTAGTCTACCGACGTTCACGAACTACATTTTTGTAACTGAAAATAATTTCACTATGAACGGTGGATTAAAACCTGTTTTACTTTAGTTTTGAAGTCATTTTACTGTTACAACTTCAAGCTTGATTTTGAAGGTAGTTCCAATTAAATATTCTATTATATATGTTATAAAAAATTATTCACAACAGTTTATGGTGGGTAAATATATTTTAGTTTGTATATAACATGTATTCTGCATGTATTCTAAATATGTATTCTAAAAAAAATTTTAACGTATAGATTGGACTTGTTATACCCTATTACAAATATACAAAAAAAAACAATATATAAAATTTTGATACTGTCTGATGTAAATTGAATATAAGAAAAACGTTTTCCCTTTATGTAACAAATCATCTTTACTATTTAAACCAAAAGACTACTGAAGTAGAATATTTTCTTCTATAGCCGTCCATGAGGGTCTCACCTACTCCCATATAATTACATGTTAAAGCTTGCTTTGTAAATTCCATTTAAATGTTAAAGCTTGATATTTTAATCTCAATTTTTAAATATTCTTCCGGTTTTTTTTTTTTTAAATGCAAAATGCAATGTCAAAAAACAAATACGTGTGTATCCTCAGTAAATATTATGTACTTACAACAATCTGGTCTTGCATAACTAGCTTTTACGAGGAAAAGTTTTATCGTTTCAAAAACCAATCTCACGGGACTGTTAAGCAATTTAAGTCTGCATATTTTCTAGGCTTTTACAATAAAAACATTTGCCTAGTTAAAAAATATTTAAGAATATTTTTTTACGGAATAGGTAACGGGATTAAAGTAAATTTACGGGAGAACGATTATTTCTTTAAACTTGAAAATGGGTTTATAATTTTATTGACTGAAGACATCATTATTACAAAGTTTAACACTTAAATATTAGCTTTTTTAATGGATTAGATTTTGATGTAAAAATTGCTTTCCTGACTCTTAATTTTTCGTATCGTTATTGTATTGAGTCTGTTATATACAAAACACAGAAATGTATCATAGATTAATATAAACGTTATGGTGTAATACCACCATTGATTTTCCCCTATTAGTCTTTGTTAAATTTGCACTTTTCAAAAAATTGTGCAGAATTTATCTTTGTTTCAAATAAAGAAATACTTGGCATGAGTAAAGTTTTATCCTGTCCAGTACTATAGAAAAAATTTCACATAACATTTCATTGCATATAAGAAAATAACCATCACTGGAAGTTAACCAATCAAATTTTCCCCCTATTTTAACCTGTGTACAAGCTTTAGTAACCATGTAACCTCAAGTTTCCAAAATATTCTATAGAAACCCCAAATAAAGAAATAATGGTGCTTTGAAATACCCAAGATATATGTTTATGACTCAGAAATGTTTTACTGCAATGAAATGTAGGATCAATTACCTACAACTGTCAAATTCAAGGGAATATTTTTTTTCGACCTATTTTCGTATGCAACCGGATGTGACGTACTATGATTTGGTGGTATTACACCTAAAGAAGACTTTTTTGTTGAATAAACTGAATGTGACTTTTTTCCTTTGTAATACTGGTTATTTCAAGCATTCCTGTCAAGTTTTGTCATAATCAGTTCAATAGTTTGAGAAAAATCTAGTATAATGTAAGACGACATCTACAGCGATTCGAGCAAAATTTCTTCGAAAAATTCAAACCAAGCCGCATCATGATAGAATATAGTGTGGACCAATAAATGATCAAATATTTATCTCATCTGCCTACAAACAGTTGAATATGATACAAACGATGACTTTAGGATGATAAATACTACTAATGGACCTCTTATTCTTCCTTATAAAG